CTTCCTCAGCTATTTCAACATCTCCAAGTTTGGTTCCTCTTCTTTGTCTTCTATTTATTGGTATCTCATGCTTTATACAGTCACCACTTTCTTCTTCCTGTTGTTATGAGTGCTGAGTTGAATTTTCTATATCATCAGATATTAGGGTGAAGCTTCTAATCAGCTTTTTGATGCTGTAAAAAAAAAACCCTGAGGTAATTCTCTTACAATGAGAAAAGTTTGATTCTGGTCAGCAGTCTTGGAGGTCCCAGTGTAGGGTTGTCTAACTCATTGTTTCTGGATATGTGTGGTAGAGCAGTGACTCAGGTAGAAAATGTGCCATGAGTCCTTGATATATACTAATCATTTTTATTTTAGAATGCCATCTCTTTTCCTCATGACTAAGCATGGATTTGCATTTATAAGCCAGGCAAGCTTCTTCCTTCCCCTCTTGACCCAAGTTTAAAATGAAGGCCTGTTGGCAGACTGCTGATTCATTTCCTGGCCATCCAGATATAAATAATCACACAGAAACTGTATTAATTGCAACACTGCTTGGTCTGTTAGCTCATGCATATTTCTAGCTAGATCTTACATCTTAAATTAACACATCTCTATTAATCTGTGCATCACCACCAGGTTATGGCCTACCAGCAAGGTTCCAGCATCTGTCTCCTCTGGCAGTTACAGGGTTCTCACTGACTGCCTATTTTCTCCCAACATTCAGTTCAGTTTTCCCACCTAACTCTATTCTGCCCTATCACAGGACAAAGAAGCTTCTTTATTCATTAACTAATAAAAGCAACACATTGTAGTAATAATCTGCGGGGCTGCGTCCCGCCACCCGGCTAGCTTTACCCGAAATAATTACACGGAAACTGTATTCTTTTAAACACTGCCTGGCCCATTAGTTCTAGCCTCTTATTGGCTAGCTCTTACATATTGATCTAACCCATTTCTAATAATCTGTGTAGCCCACGAGGTGGCTTACCAGGGAGGATCTTAACCTGCATCTGTCTGGAGCGGGAGAATCATGGCGACTAACTGACTCAGGCTTCTTTCCCCCAGCATTCTGTTCTGTTTACTCCACCCACCTAAGGGTTGGCCTATCAAATGGGCCTAGGCAATTTCTTTATTAATTAACCAATGAAAGCAACAGATCAGAAAGAAATCACTCCCACATCAACACATATACAGAAGTACTTCCCACACCATTTCTCCTTTTCTGTCCAAATAAAAAGGAAGGTTTTAACATTAACATAGTAAAATTACATATAGCAAAACAGGTATCAAGCAAGAATTACAGTTACAATATTTAGTCCTTTTATACTTGGCAAATTAAAAAATATCCTATCATCTATTCTGTGTTTGTGAGTCTAAAGCTTTATATCTAATTTTTCATTTATCATAATTAAGGAAAACTATAATAATAACTAACTGTTCTTCAACTCTGTCAAAGACCCCAGAAGGATATAATATTACCTAAGTAAACAGGAAGTACATTGTAAGCAACTTCTAAAACTCTAGAATTGACAGAGACATCTCACTGCCTTGACAGTCACCCAAAGTTCCGTAAAATTGGGGCATCCACCTTCAGCCTACAGGCCCATAGTATCTGGCAGACTTTTCCATGAACCAGGAAATTTCAAAGACAGTTCCACCTGTATTGGTAATTTGTCAGTCACTTTCTTCTGTGTCCTGCAGAATGTCTGGCAGACTCTTTCATGAAGCAGGAACCCTAAAGGACTTTTTCACCTTCTTTAGGCAAGTTCAGTGGTCATTTTTGTGTGCGTCCTTCATGTCCAGTTTATACAGCATACCATTAAACAGTCCAGGCAAGAGCAGTTTCTTGCTCAAATGGCTAACCAACTCCATAAGGAACTTCTTTGATGCCTATCATCTGATTGAATTCAACTGGTGCTGCCAGAAGCAGATGTGTCTCATTGTCATGAAAAGTTTTAAAATTTTAAAACATTTTAAATGCCATATTCTGTTAGTGTTTGAAAGTATTGGAGAATACCTATCCATCTGAAATATATCTCTGTACATCTAGAAAACCTAACTAACATTATAAATGACTACCTATTAACTTGTATTTCTTAATTATACATTATGTTCTTAAATGAGCTGCACAAACACAATACCTTAATCAAAAGCAGAAAATTTTGGGAATATGGACATAGTTCTCTCCAAACTGATTCCTTGTGTTTATTGGATGAAGCATTTCTAGGGTTCATGGAAAACTTTCAGGGGTCTTGTTCTATCAAACCACATTAGCCTAGAAGGAATTTACAGGTTCTTATCCTCTGTGGAAACAAAAGCAGAACCTCTTTATCAAAGCAACATACCCTTAGATCCAGAATTTGAAGTCAAGATACCTTTAAAATATGTTGGTTTAGCTTAGCAGCCCATACAATGAAATGTCTCTGTACTTAGCTCTTTCACAGAAAATTAAAGAAAACATGATGATATACATAATCCAGATGCTGTGTAATTTCCATCTTTATGTGACTTATTTTTCTTTACTCCTTTAATTTATGACTAACTGTATTGTATCTCTTTAAAGAGTTTGTTTTATTTTTTAAGATGATTTACCTCTTTTTATAACTATACTCTTTTTCTTCTCTCTCCCAAGCCTACATACATTTTTTAAACACACTGTGCCTTGTTTAAAAGTCGTTTATGTCTGAATCTGTCCTATTGTGTATCTGAAATCCTTTTCTGTCCAGGAGGGCTTCTTAAAGTGCTAAGTGATGTGGCTAGGACTAAGACTGCTTTGCCTTTTGGCTCCACCCAGTCCAACATGGGGGAGGTCCGTTCAGTGCCAGCTCTATGAGCTGTGTTCATAGACCCATTTCCAGGCACACAGTGGGTCTATGTTGCCATTAAGCAAGCTGTAGCTCTCTGCCTGCTCACAGACCCCATTTAACTGCTTGGCTTCCTGAAGGAGCCAGAGCTGTACATGCAACTAGCACAAACCAGGAAGACACTGTTTCTTAAAGAAGCTGCATTTTTTTAAAAATTATATGCCATGTAGCCACTGTGGGAGAAAGATATTGGAAGCTTGCCAGTAGGCCACAACCTCATGGTGGTGCACAGATTAATAGAGATGGGTTGATTTAAGATCTAAGAGTTGGCTAGGAATATGAATAAGCTAATTGGCCAAATGTTTCTGAGTGATTATTTGGGTCTGGGCAGCCAGGAACCAAACGAGCAGCCTCCACCAACAAAGGCCTTGCCGATTTTTCCTTCCTCCAGCAGCCTTGCAGCTGATGGACTAGCTCAACGAGTTCAAGATCTCATCAGCATATGTTACACGACGGTTGTGGGTCAATCAGTCATCCTGTCATTCTTCAAACTGACCTCAAATAAATGAGGAAGACTCTTCAGACTTTAAAATACCCTCAAGGAGAAGCTGGGCTCAGCAGAGTCCCCACTGTGCTGTGTCTGAGGGTCTTTCTCCCTGTGTGCTTGCTGTGAGTGTTTCCTCACCCCTAATAAAAGCCTACCCAATACCAGAGTGTCAGTCCTGAAAACAGGCATATGAATACCCTTCCATAGATAGAGTGGTTGAACTTTATATGTCTAAGAATACATATATAGCAACAGTAGCATATATATGTAATAACAGTTCATGAAAAAGGTTTTTAATTGGCAGAAAAGCAAGTAGGGGTATAAGAGAGGGATTGGAGGGAGGAAAGGGAAGGGAGAATGATGTAATTATATCATAATCTCAAAAATAAAAGACAAATTTAAGAGACCGTTTTCATTGGCAAAAGAAAAATAAAAAGAAAAGTAAGCAAGACACAGAAGGACAAATACCACACTGTCATTCATTTGTGGCAGTTAAAAAGGTTATCTCACTGAAGTGGATAAAAGAGACAAGATCACAATAGGCTGGGTAGGGGAGGAGGAGAACAGAGAGGCTAGATAAAAGGATATCAAGTACAGTTAGATGGAAATGGTTTTAGTGAACCATGGAACTGTAGGGTGACCGTAGTCTATAACAGTTTGCTACACAAAATAATGTTTAAAGAGATGCAAATTCTATTTGATCATTTTATATTATATATTATATATGTATCAGATGATCCTTCTCTATCTCTTAAATACATAAAACACCATAAGAAGAGCTTAGCATGATATCTCATGCCTTCAATTTCAGCACTTGGGAAACTGAGAATAAATGATCACCATGAGTTTGAGGCTAGGCTAGGCTACATGATGAGTTCTGGGTCACCAGGGTGTTCTGTCTGGAGAATTGTCCATATTATGGTTGTTCCAAATGAATAATATGTAGTAAACAAAAGTAAAGGGGCAAACCCAAGTATCATACAAGAGAGCATCATCAGGTTGGTCACTTATGACACCCATCAGGAACTGGCCGGAGAGCCTTGTTGAAATGGCGATACTGGAATTTCCAAGTGAGAGAGACCTAGGCAGAGTCTTGTCTGTAGACAGGACTTCCCATAGCTTCAGGCTTCTTATCCCCATTTAAGGTGTTGTGTATCACAGGAGAAACAGCACTAACCTCTGTTGGAGATAGTTTATCTTACAGCTGTTCTCCAGCTGCAAGGTTTTCAATATCCTTCTTAGTTGTCAACTGTTTTCAATTCTTCCTATTAAAAGAACCAGAGAGCCAGTGGGACCCGGGATAGAGTCTTAAAGGGCATTTGAAATGCTTGAGTCTTAGACAAGGTAGCCTATCTTCTCGGATAGCTGTCAACAGGCGCCAACAGCACTTGACACTTTACCAATATAATTTATATTACATTGGGCTACAGAGTGAGACCCTGTGTCAAAAAACCTGGCATGATAATAAAAATAATTAATATTCTCTGCCTATGCAACATTAGATATTAAATTATTTCTTAATTTGGTTCAAAAATTAAAAAGTTATAGTGTAAGACTCTTATGACCAAAGAGTACACTCAAGAAGGATTTGTAGAATTCGGCAGAGTGCTTTTCAGGACTCACACCCCATTGAACTCACATCTAATGAAAAAATGTTTATGATTCAGGCTGCCATAAGTCCGAAGCACAAACGTAAGGGAGAAAGCCTTAAATCAGACCAACAGGGTGTGTCAGGAGCAGCTGTGTTCCGGTAATGGGAGATCTGCGGGAAGAACTGATGACTGTCCTCAAGCACCGTGAATACAAACGGAAGTGGCTCAAGCCTTCTGGAAACCCACACAGACATTTGTAAGTGGTTCTATGGAGGAGATTTATGCATTTTCACCTCATGAATCCTCTGATAAATATTTATCATGGGCAAGTCTGTCTGACAGAGATCGGAAGACACAGAACAAGAGGGATGCTTATTGTTTCTCCAGCTTTTCATATTGATTGTGGTGACATCAGTCATCATATTTTTGGTCTGTTTTTAAAGCATTTCCGTCTCCAAGTCAAAAATTATCTCATCATATGCTTAAGAAACTTGTCACCAGCAAAAGTTTTTCTAAAGATAGAATTGGTTTATCACCTCATTTTGAAGAGATAGAATTGGTACTATCACCTCATTTTACTTTTTTTGGGGTGTTTTTGAGGCAGGGCCTGGCTTGCAGTGCAGGTTGGCCTTTAGTTGATGCTCCTGCATGGGCTTCTCCAGAGCTAGGATTATGGGCCTTGACCACTGTGCTCTTCGGAGGAGGGCTCTGAGAAACAGAAAGTGAATACAGGAAAGATGGGTGAATCCTCATCTTGAGACCTCTTCTTCACAACTGCCCTGCTGCGGCACACATGGCTCCCACTCGCTCATAGCTCTTGACTTGAACTTGTTTGCCAATTACTTGCCAATATCTCGCATTCTTTTTCATACCCACCATCCTAAGCACAGACCCGACATCCTCTCAGCCAGGTCCCCACTTCTGGAGAGTTATTTGCACAGAATGGAGCTTATGAAGGGTTGGACACACCCTCTCCCTCCCTAAACCACAACATTGTGTCTCAGAGAAAACAATGAGAGTTTGCTTTAATTCCCCCCTAAAAAGAAATGCTATCCTCACTCACCTGTAGGAGTCTTAACAGTCATTTCTCATCCACAAAACTTTCCCCTAAGTATAGCCCTTGTTAAAGCTTGGAGAAATCAGAGCTGTAGGCTCACTCCACATAGTAAACTCCTAAATCAAATTTTCTCAGAAGACTGTAAAATCTTTGTGCTAAATATGCTTTTCTCAAATGAGAAAGTGCAAATTTGTATCTACATAAAATAAACATAACCAAATTACATTTCTATATCCACTTTGGTCTTCAGTCCTTTCCCACCCATTTTGATTGAGGCCTTCTATATTTTTGGGTTCCACCTTCCTGGCTCTAGCCATCTGTATTGAACATGTACAGACTAATTTCCTTACGTTATTCCCTGAGCGATAGGACATGATATTTATTCCTCTACTTACATTGCATTAGGTAGCATGCAAATTCTAAAAGTGTTTTAAATTATACAGGATGTGCATAAGATATATACAAATACTCCAGCATGTGATATGGAACGTGACCATCTGTGTTTCAGGCACTGGGTTCCTGTAATCATTACTCAGAAGGTACTGAGGGACAGCATATATGAAGAAAACCTGTTCCCACACAGATAGTCAGTTGATGAAGGCAGGAGGATTTTAGTAGCTCACTCCTTTCCTCTCTTATTCTCTTCCTTCCTTCTCTCTTCTCTTTCTTTCCATCCACCCTTTCTTTTCTCATCTTTTTAAAATATATATCTTTTGTTATATATCCTGGGCTCTCCACTGTTTTTGCATGCATCAACATGATAAAACTTGGAGACAACATTTGCGCATCACTAACACAGGCTGCTAGGTTCCTAGCTGTATTTATCATCTAGAATACAAAGCTCATGGTAAGTACTCGAGGAACATCTGTTGAACAGGTGAAGGATGGATGCTGTAGAAAGTTGTTGCTTTGCATCCTGCTCTTTGTGACTCAGCTTTATGCCCTGAACTTCATCAGTGAATGTGAGTAGAGCCAGTCCATTCTTTTTAAACACCAGGCGTACTGTGCTCCACACATATGTCAAAATGTTCTTAACTATTATGACTGTATACATTTAGTTGTTCCTATTTCTTCCAAATTAGAAATAATTGTTCTGCAGAGAGCTTTATACCAATTTCTTTATGTCTACATGAAAGAATTATTTGGAGGCCTATTCTTAGAAGTAGACATTCTGAGTTATAACATATGTACATTTCCAACTGTAGCAGTCATATTCTGAGATGGCCCTATGACCTCTACTGAGCAAAAGCAATGAATGTCACCCCTTTAATATTATTATATGGTAAAAGTGAAAGGGTTATAAAGATGTAATTGTGGTTCATCATACTATCCCTTTGCATAATGTTTGGGCTTCATTTGGGAATAATTCCACAATTCATGGAATCTTAAGTCCCTTATGTAAAGTGATATAACTTTTAGAAATAGCCTATATGCATTTTCTATTTATTAATTCAGTTATTTTTGAGACAGGGTACTACTCTATAGCTGAAATTGACCTCAAACTTATGATCCTTTTGCTTCTTTCTGTAAGTGTTGATATTGCAGATGTACATTCACACACCCAACTCTTATTATTTAAAATAATATCTAGACTACTTATGATACCTAATCAAATAAAAATGCTATATAGATAGTTATTATATTGTATCATTTAAGAAATAACAAGAAAAAATCTTTATGTTCAGTAGAGATGCAAATCTTTTTCTGAATATTTCCACATTTGGTTGAATCTGTAGGTGCAGAACTCATGAAACAAAAGGCTGGCTTCATACTGTAAGAGATTATTGTGGTGGTCCTATTCTGCTCAGGTGGATTCTTGGGAAGCTAGTCTAGAGTTGAGAGTAGAAGCAATAGTCCACACTTCTGGCTGTCTCACCCCAAGAAGCAAACACCCTCTCCTCGCTCCCTGTTCTGATCATCTGTGAAGAGCAACAACTGTGTGAGCTGGAGCTTTGGTTTCTTTTGAGTACAAGGATTTGAATTCTGCCAACTATGCCAAGCTTGGAAGAGGACTTGAACCGTCTGCTCCCCTCAACTACGCTGATCCAGATAAGAACCCCTTGACTTCAGCCTTTTGAGCACCAGCTGAACCAAGGAAACAGATAAGAAATAAAGTTTATTACCTAAAAAGTCACTAAGTTTGTAATTTGTTCCCCAGCAGTATTATCCAACTGCACTCTAGCGTGGGTCTTTTGATTTACGTCCTGAAATCAGGAAACAGGGAATACTGTTTTCAGACCTTGTAGATGCTATGGATTTTGCAGCTGTGAAGTTGCATTATCCTAGGCATCTAATTTGCATCTTCCAAATTGCTAGTGTGTGACTTGATATGTGCTTTCCATGTTTCATGTCTGCTGGCGCCCTTTGTCTCTTGTTTATTTGTAGGCTTTCTTCATTCTTGCCCTGTCAGTGTTATGTATATGTATGTATCATGGTTTCCGTCTGCAATGTCTTCCTCAGGATCACATGTGAGCAGCTGGTCCCAGTATGTGGCACTATTTTAAAGGCCATAGAGACTTTAGCAGGTGGGACATGGCTGTCTGGAATAGCACACTTGGGAGGGACTTTAAAGATTATACCTGCTCCTGGTTTGGCTGGCTCTTTCGTTTGTAGCTGGCACCATGTGAAGATGCTCAATCATCCTACAAAAGCATTTGTTCAACTATGTTCTTAGCAGCACTATTTGTAATAGCCAGAACCTGGAAACAACCTAGGTGCCCCTCAATAGAAGAATGGATAAAGAAGGAAAGGCTGTCTTTTATCCCGTGTGTGTGTTTTTCACACCTTCTTCAAAGATTAGGTGGCTGCAGCTGGGTGAGTTTGTTTCTGGGTCCTTTGTTCCTTTCCATCAATTTGCACTTCTGTTCTGTGCTGGTGTCATGCTGTTTTGTTTCTGTGGTTCTGTAATATAATTTGGCCTCAGGCATTATGATATTTCTAGCATTGTTCTTTCAATTTAGGGTGACTTTAGTTATCCAGGGTCATTAGTGCTTTCATAAAACTCTAGGGCTATTAATCATAAGGAGTGCCCTTGTTCTGGGAAGAGGAAGGGGTAAGCGTCTTTGGAAGTAGAGCAGAGTGAACTTCTTAGACCTACAATGAGTGGAGATTTCAAGGATAATTTAAATTTTTCCAAGTTTCCAGGACCAGCTCTACTCCCAAATTCATAATAGACATGGTTCCTCTTCACATGTTAGCATATTCAATAAGTTTACTCATGTTATCAACAAATACTTACTATAGGAATCATATTGTGGTGGTTTGAAAGAAAATGCCCCCAAAGGGAGTGGCACTGTTAGGAGGTGTGGCCTTGTGGAAGTAGTGTAGCTTTGTTGGGGAAAGAGAGTCCCTAGGGAGAAGCACAATTAATAAAAACTTCACTTCCTGCTGCCTGTGGATCCGAATGTAGAACTCTCAGCTCCTTCTGCAGCACCGTGTCTGCCTGTACTCAGCCACACTTCCCTCCATGGTGCTAATAGACTAAACCCCTGAAACTGTAAGCCAGGCACAGTTAAATGTTTTCCTTTATAAGATTGGTCATAGCATATCTTCACAACAATAGAAACCATAACTAAGAAATGTACCAACTTATTAATTTTGATTTATGAATGTGTGTATTATGTCCTGCATGAGTGGGTATCTGCAGAGGGCAGAAGAGGGTATCGGATGCCCTGGAGTTGGAGGTATAGACTGTTGTTGTAAGCTGTCTGACATGACTGCTGGGGTCCAAACTCAGATCCTGTTGAGAAGCAGTAAGTGCTCTGAGTTGCTGAGGTGTCTCTCCTAACCCCACACTTATTTTTTTATAGATGATTTTTCTGACATATATCTTCAACTTTGTGTTGCTGTGACAACATATCTGATGTAACACCTTAAGGAAGGAAGGACTTATTTATTTTGGTCCATGCTTTAGGAGATTTCAGTCTGTCATGATGAGAAGGGTGTGGTGGCAGATCATCTCCCACCATGACAGCAAGGGAAGAGGGAGGAGGGGGAGAGGAGAGAGTGTCTTGTTTAGGCTCTGTTTTAGATCATCAGTAATCCTCAGGTTGGGGGATGGTGCTGAGACTGGTCTTTCTTCGCTGGTTAATCATCTCTGCAAACCACTTACAGGCATATAAACTGGACACATGTCTTACTAATTTCCCAGACACTTCTTGGTTCCATCAACTGACAAGCAAGATTCACAGAGCATGCACTGATCGACTTTGTTCTACCGGGTGTTGATTTTATGTTTTATGTCTTTAGACGGATTTTCATGCTGTTAGTTCACTGATGATAGATTTCAGCCCTGAAAAGAGCAGCCAGCTTCCCAATATATCCAGTGTAATGCAAGATACTCTGGGTTTATTTTTTGGCTCTTTAGGGGAGTCCCCCCCCCCAATCCAAATGATCATACACAGAGTCTTCTTCTGTCTTATGAATATCTGGGTTTAGCTTGACTTGTTTCTTATCAGCTTTTCTTAAATTATCCGGTCTACCTTTTGCTTCTGGGCTTTTCTCTATTTCTGTATATCTTTTCTTTCCTTCTTACTCTGTGTCTACCTGCGTGGCTGGATGCCTGGCCCTTTCTTTTCTTGATCTTTGATCTTTTCTTCCCAGATTTCTCCTCCTATTTATTCTCTCTACCTTCCTGCCCCACCTATCCTTTCTCCTTCATTGCTATTGGCTGTTCAGCTCTTTATTACACCAATCAGGTGTTTTAGACAGGCAAAGTAACACAGTTTTGCTGAGTTAAACAAATACAGCATAAAAGAATGCAACACATGGTTGCATCATTAAATGGATATCCTATAGTATAAACAAATGGAACACATTTTTTAATTATATAGTATTTTTTTATTACTTAAAAAAATACCAATCCAAATTCACACTCACTCCCCTCCTCCCAGTCCCCTCCCTCTCCCTCCACAGACCTTCCCCCCACCCCTTCAACCCTAAAGGAGTACCATGCACCCCGCCCTGTGGAAAGTCCAATGCTTTCCCTACTACATTTAGGTTGAGCAAGGTTTACATCCAAAGAGAATAGGATCCCATGAAGCCGATATATGCAAGTAGAGACACAGCCCAGTATCACTATCAGTGGCCCCCCTATCTGCCCGAGCTGTCAACCTTCTTCAGGGGGGCTTGGTTACTAATATTCTACAACAGTAATTTTTTTGAAGTCTACTTTGACCCTTAATTAAACCAAGACAGCCCTCGTTGGAAGTCTTATCTGAAAATGCTCTCTGGCATATTGTGGTTTACAGATTCCAAAAACTGTGACAAGCTCAGCTCAGTCAAGAGACATAATTTAGTTCATGTTGACTTAAAGCAAAAGATGTGATGTGGCGCGAGTTATCCCATGGACTCTAAGGGAGGAATGCAGTAGAGGTACAGTAAGCAAGGGAGCTGGAAGGATGAGCCAGCTAGGCTCTGCTAGCTCCCTACTTTCTCTACTCGCTTTGTTTTGGAGATGAATAAGGTGCTTTACAGTCTCCAACCACACGTTCTGATCCCATTTATACAGGCTCATGCATGCTTCCCTTCTACACCCCCCCACTCTTCCTCTATAACCTCCATAATTACATAGTCTTGTATTCTTGGGGAAAGGAATGCAATGGGTCAAACTTCATGCCCAGTTGTTAAAACAACACAGCTAAGCGTTGCTTAAGCATCTACATGCACTTCCGAATTAGCTCTGTGTTCACGTGGGAGCCGAACATGGTATTTTATTTTTGATTTTCAGCTGTGTTCTGAGAACGATCCAGCTGGCTTGGGCCGAGAGATTTGTGTTATCCTCCAATCCCCCAAATATTACTAAAAATCTCCCGAATGCACCGAAGCATCCTGGGAGTTGAGTCCTCCTGAATGGCGAGAACTGCAGAACTTCTCATCTCAGTGATTCGCGAAGGAACTGGCCGTTCTGCCTCGGAATAACCGACTGAATGCTGACGCTGTCTAAACGCAGAGAAATGGCACGCGATTCACATTCAGATCAGCAACTCAGTTTCACAGGGATTTTTTTTTAAGTTGTGATATTTTTGATATCTTCTTGCTCAAAAGTGGTTGCATCCTTTACAAAAGAGATTCATTTTTATCGCATAGTTTAAAATGGTTTTTTGAGAGAGTCACATACATTGCTAAGCTCAGGTAGTGGGTACATGTAATCTTAAAACCCGCACGCCTCTACTTCCACGTTTTATTTTACCCTTGGGAAAGTGAAAACCACGTGCAAAGCCTGAGCAACAATTAATGTCACCATCTATTGTTGCTCCAGGTGTCGTCAATTTCAGTGCCTCTTACAGTGCCATCTGCAGCTGCAAGGGAGAGTCTTAAAGCCCAGAACTTGGCACTCCCTTCTCCTGGGTGATATTCTGATTTCTTTGCTGTGATTTTGGTGTCTTGACTTTGAAAAATATTTTCCTCCTAAGCCCTCATTTCTCTGAAGAGCCCTGGATCTTCTGTGATAGTACACTGCGGGCAAATTTCTACTTAACGTGTGCCTCTTAGGTAAGTTTTTAAAGTAATAGAAGAATATGCCTATCATATTCAGATATGATGCAAACTAGGTTGAAATGGGAAGATGGCAAACTCCAATTGCACTGATACTTTATAATATTAGAATACAGTAAATGGGAACTAAGAAATTTGAAATACAGTAACCTGCCCTCCAAGAGATAGAAGTTGGACTATCCTCTCCTTGATACTTATGGTCCTTCTCTGAAAACCTGACTGTCCCTATTACCCTAAATGGCCTCTTTCCTTTCTCTAGGACACTAAAAGTGGTCATTTGAGCATTATAACGAATCTCTCAGGTTCGCTCGAGAGATCTGAAATTGTCATATAAAGACTGGGGGAAATTTGTTCCGTGCTGTGAAAAATATATCTACATGAAATGATGTCTAGAGCAGTAGCAATTTCTTTTATGATAACAAGCATTACAAAAGAGAAGGGCTAGAACTTGGAACCTCATGGAGAAGACGGATGTGGAGTAGACCCCCATTCATCAGCATGAAGGGACAGTTACCATAGCAGAGGAGCTGCAGGGATAGACTGGGAGTTGTCTGC